CAATCTGCATCTTTGTACAGCCAACGCTTACGACGCTGAATCTGCGGAGAATTATTTTGGATACGTGTTCGAATGGGAAAATGGTCACTTCCGCGAGTATCTTCTTCAGTGGACCAAAACAATTTGCTTGCAAGACTCTGCGACACTACGGTAAGATCTATAGCTGAGGTACTACCGTGTACGGAACTGATGAATGTTGGTTCACCGTTGTTGAGGACTACTAGTTGATGATTTACAAACCAGTCTAGCAGTAACCATCCACGCTTCGATGATTTTACACTGCCCCAGACTTCATGGGCTACCTTAAAGTCACCTCCAATTATAAATGGTGGTTGGTGTTCAGCGAAGAGATTTTCGAGTGTGTCAATGATATCTTGTACTATTGGGTGGAATATATATTGAGGCGATGGTGACGTTGTAGGGATCGTTCAGACGAGCGACACAGAGAGGGTTGGGTGAATTCATTGAGTACATCTGGTGTGGAATTTCATTCAGAATTCCAAGCCCCACAGCACCTGCCCCCTGACAGCACTGACGGTGGGAAGAAGCCCAATCATATAGGTTTGTAAGAGTTTTGCTGAGAGTTTTCGTCATCATCTCTTGTAGTCCAATAGCTACTGGCTGCTCATGTTGAATTAGATGTACTAGTTCGGTGTGATTGCACCATAATACACGGATGTTCCAATGCAAAAGTAGTGTGTTCGTTGTTTGATCTTCGTTGGTTGTGCTCCCGTTGGTAGAACTAGGGGATGCTTCACGTTGGTTATCTCTTGCTCGGTCTCCTGAAAGGTGTGATATTGGAGCAGGATTGACTGAACTAACGACTGAACATGAAATGGTACTTGCCCGAGGATAGGGACAATCCACGTCGACTGCCGCCAGAGGCTCATCGGATAAATCCGGAACATCCCTGGTCAGGGTCGACGTGGAAGGCCTCGCGCTTGGCGAATCAGTAATCTGAGTTTCCTAATATAGGTATAGCCAGTTTTTGTTTGGTTTCGGTAGAATTGGAAGTTTGGTAGTTGACGGGTTGAAAAGAGACGTCCCATATCACGCCCCTCATTGCTTCTTCTGGAACTGGAGAGGGTACAGCACATTCGCCCCCTCCAAGCCGCGTTTCTTCAACGTTGAAATTGAAATGAAAAAACTAATTGAAAATTGAATTTGAAAAACTAATGTTATTTAAATCAGCAGCAATGATATCTTAAATTTAAAAATATTAGCATGGGGTGAAATTGATCAACCCCTCAAAGGGCTCCCCAGTGCATTCCTAGTAATTGTTCTTATTAAATATGGGTTCTCTGAATCCGATTCCGATGCTAAAACCCTTGTGTGGAAAGTGTTTTCAGTCCAAAGGCCTAAAATTTCATTCAAATTCACTGGTAATTTTTCGAAAAACCCTGGATTTCTTGATATTTGAAACATTCTACCGCAATATATTAAGTAACTTGGATTCATTGACACTTAGTTTAGTAAAACAAGACACTTGAATGGTAACGACATCAATCGTTGCAGTCCTATGATCATTTGTTGGGATGTTGATATTGTATGCTACTTAACGTCAGCTCTATAAAATTGAAATTTATGCACTATTTTGCTAGGAAAAACACATCATTGCAATCATAGGCGTAGCCAAAGGGGGCCAGGGGGGGCAATTGCCCTCCAACTAAACTCAACAACACTTTCGGTGAAATGGCATTCGGCCAAATTTTCCATACTAATTTTTGTTTCGCCCCTCCCTAGCTCAAAACCTAGCTACGCCCTTGATAGCAATCATTGGAGTCTTATGATGATATACTTTTAATAGCGAATTAGTTTATTATCGGGGTTAACACCAGTTCCAACCCAGTGCGAAACCGAACTTTTTGTCAGTTTGAACCTCAACCTGAGCTAGGTTTTAAAAACACACGAACAAACTGACGTTTTCAGAAAACAAGCAGACCAGGTTGGAACTAGATAATAAACGAATTCGCTATAAGATTTCTCTTGATATCTATCACCGACCATGTTATACGTGACAGTTAAAAGTCACCCGGTGATCAATTTTCCTCCGGATTACGATACTTTCTGGACAACCGACAGTCTTGAAAGAACATTGAATTTTAAAACAGTGGAAGATCCTCAGAACTTAATCAACCTGAAGTCTTGGAAAAAATATCCAGAGCTTTACTAATATCTTTGTCTACACTCCCGGAAATAAATATAAAGACACATAAAAAAGCATGGCGCCTACCAAATATAAGAATCAGAGGAATTCTAAACCATGTATTTTTGGAAGCCACATTATCATGCTACAATATCACCCATAGAAATAACCAATTGCATCATGTACGCAGGGGAAATAAATGGAAATGTGATTTCTCCTTCGGAAATAAATATAAGGACGCCATACAAAAATGTATGGGAAATTGGTCATTTTCGAAACATTACTAAGCATGTCAACAATTCTTGTAGCACCAAAATAACCAAAGAGTTAGTTAAAGTAATAATTAAACTTAATTTCTGAAACGTTTTAAGCAGATCCAATCGCTAGAAGTTATCGAAAATTACAAAAAATCATTGGTTGATCAGCGATGATTAATTAGGTGATACATACATTTAGGCGTTTTCCGAGTTAGAATGTGTCTTGAGATGTTCGAACAAATTAATAGGAAGATGACCTGTGTTTATTTAGTTACACTAAAACTGATATCTAGTAAAAGTGAGGGGGTGACGGGCCTACGCGCTCTTCCCATCTTCCTATTAATTTGTTTGAACATTTCAAGACAAATTCTAACTCGGAAAACGCCTAAATGTATGTAGCTCCTAATTGATCATCGCTGATCAACCAATGATTTTTTGTAATTTTCGATAACTTCTAGCGATTGGATCTGCTTAAAACGTTTCAGAAATTAAGTTTAATTATTACTTTAACTAACTCTTTGGTTATTTTGGTGCTACAAGAATTGTTGACATGCTTAGTAATGTTTCGAAAATGACCAATTTCCCATACATTTTTGTATGGCGTCCTTATATTTATTTCCGAAGGAGAAAATCACATTTCCATTTATTTCCCCTGCGTACATGATGCAATTGGTTATTTCTATGGGTGATATTGTAGCATGATAATGTGCCTTCCAAAAATACATGTTTTAGAATTCCTCTGATTCTTATATTTGGTAGGCGCCATGCTTTTTTATGTGTCTTTATATTTATTTCCGGGAGTGTATATGGAGACCTATTGAATATTTCCTGCTGTCTAGGAAAGATGTCTGAAAGAATATCCTGTAGCTTATGCAATGTTTCCTGAACATCTACAAAACTCCTTTAAGTTTTACTAAATTTCCTCAACTTCTACGAGGTTCCCTGAATTTATTCCATATTCCATATTTTGTCAATTTCTCTTAATTTTACACAGATCTCTGAACATTTTTGTACTTCTGAAAAGGCACTTATCATCTACAAATATTCTTGAACATCTGGAAGTTCCTTGAAATTTAACGAAGTTCTCAAAACCCCCAAGAAGTTCATGGAGCTTTTTCGAATCTCTGACAAACTGTAACGAAGTTTGTTATACTGAAGCGAGGATCCCCGAAGTTTCAAGAATTTGATTGAACTATCTGTAGATCTTCTGCAAAATTCCCTGAACTTTTTAAAAAATCCTTAAACTTATATGAAGTTTTACGCAGCTCCTCAAAATGCTACGAAATTCGCAAAACTTCTAGAAAGTTTGCTGTACTTCTACGTTTCTCGTTGATTTTCCGCGAAGTTCTACGAACGAAATTTCTTGCATTTGTACGTAATTTCCACAACTATTCCAAGACCATGAGGCCTCAAATTATTTAGAGGTTACCGATCAATAATGAACTTCCTTTAAATTAAATAATGTTCCCTTAACTTCTACGAAGCTCTCAAACTCAAATAAATTTTCCACTTCTACGCAGTTTCCAGAACTTTTCCGAGTTCCTTGTTTCTGCGAAATTTTCTGTAGATCTATGAAGTTCCCAAAATTTCTAATCAGTTTCCTCAATTTCTACGATGTTCCCTGTACTTCTTAGAAGTCCTTGAAGTTTTACGAAGCTCCCAAATGTTTAATAAAAAGCCCTGGGCTCATTGCCAATTTGTAAAGCCTGTAGACGTCTTATTATGCCGTCCATTAAATATCGACATTATGTAATTAATCAAAATTGCTTCTTCTAGTCCAGAACGTAAAAAAGTAGTCAACATTAAGGACTTTAAAAAAAGATTAGTAACATCGAACTTGACAAGCTTAACAAAATACCGGTGAATAAAAAAAAAACATCAAAAGTTCTGATGGACGGGAGGGCCTAGCTACGTCAATAAGACTTACTCTTCTTCTTTTTACCTGTGTGGCACAACAGGATTGCTCTGCCGTAAACCTGAAAGCAGATTGAAGTTGCAAGACTATGGAATCGTGTGAATACATTCAACAAAGTGTTTTGATAGGAAAATACAGTGAACACTGATAAATTGAACTATTCCCATTTTGCTTGAAATTTAATCAATTTGACATTAAACTCAGTTTAATCATATCGAATGATTAAAAATTAATCCTCTCTTTCTAAAAATTAAGCATCTGATATTAATCCCAGTTTAATCACGGTTGATTAGATTGTAGATTATCTTTTTTTGAATAAATTTTAATCATTTTTGATTCTATTTTAATAATTTTTGATTGAATTTTTATCTTTTTTGATTATATATCAGTATTGAAAAAGAATAAAATTTAATACCGGAAAGTTTTTTTCAAATTTAATCATGCATGACTACTGCCGAAGTAATCATGGCTCGGACTCAATAAGGTGAAGCGGGAATCTGCATACTTTTTAAACTTTTTTGATTTAATTTATCTTTGAGTGAAGTTAATGTTTAAATTTTGGATGCCGAAAACAGTCAACGGATGCCGAAGTCAACATTTACCCTAGTCCGGTTCCCGTAGCGTGGTAGCTGCAAAATACCTTTTCAATTTCTTTCGGGTGCAGAAAATAATCAACACAATGTTCGTTGAATCATATTTATTTCGAGTAACAGTTGGGAAAATAAAAAGAGATAACAAATCGGAGTTATTAATAAAGATATTCGCATTGAAATAAACGCTGTGTCATTACAAAAAATGTCTTGTTTGTTTTGTTCGACGTTCGTTCTGTTTAGTAGGTATTGAGTATTGTTCATATTTGTGTGTTTATTACTTTTACACGTAAGTTTCAAACAGATGGCTTTGATCAACCGTTTCTTATCTAATAAAGAATGAAAAAAAAAAAAACTTATTTACATTTATCTGTCTTTGCACTTGCTTAACGTTCAACCCAAGAATCAATAGATTTATTATTAAAAGTTACAGAAAATTCTGGTTTGTCGAGGTTAAGCATCAAATCGTTTACAGTAAAGAAGCCAAACAATGGTAAAGCTTCTGTTTGATGCGTTATTTTCCATGAAAAACGATTTTTTTTATTTATGTTATAAAAATTTGTGAAATTTTGAGCCGAAATTTTAGTGCTTATGAAGGTTCTTTATGTGCATTTGGATCTTATTTATAGTTTTTCAATTAAATTTTGGCATTCGTGTATAGATTTGGCTTGAGAGGTGATAATTTATCGTCCGATATTGATTGGCTCGTCGGCCATTCCTAGCTCTTCGGAAGCTGCTTTGTTTCCCTTCTTCTTTTTCGAGTACCACATGAAGGTAAGTCCGGCATAAAGGTTGAATAGGAACACGCTCCATGCCAGGTAGAAACCGTAGCCATAGCTGAAACGATAAATGTCGCGATGCAATTATTATTCAGTTAGGTTGACAAATGTGTTCCATACCTAGATTTGGCACCTTTCGGGAAGGTGTAGGTAATATTCTCCTTCTCGTATTCCACGGACGCAATCAGAACCTGAATGACTACGATGCTGGTAGAAGCTGGAGGAATATAGTTAAATGTGATTATTGAAACAAGATGAAACATTGGGTACGGTAGAATAAGAATATTAAGGAGATCTGAGAGTGTTTTTTTTAAATACTATAGAAACTCTCCAAACGTGGGATTTGTATTACAATCGAGAGATTTTGTTTGTAAAACGAACATTTCCCCACCAGTTACTTATTTCCCGTTGTCTAGTATTAAGCATTCATTTTCTGCAACCTTTGGTTGTAGACGGTATCTAGAAGCTTAAACGCAGTTTGAGTACTAAACTTACCCGAGATGAAGTGGATGCCACCTGCTAATCGCTTGAACATATACCGCGGGTTCAGGAAAGTGTAAACGGAGAACACAAAACCCATCACCATGATGAATAGCGAGATGCAAGCGAACGATGCTTCCGTGCGGCTGTAGTCTGTGTTGCACAGAGGGAGAGAGACAATGTGTTTCGGATTTCGGAAATTGTGGGTGGAAGAGACAAATAACACATACATGAGAAGGTTTATAAGTTCCACAAGTGTAAACCGAAACTGTTCCAGTCCAGTTATTTTATGTTTTGGAGTTCCAATTTTACGGCAGTAATTTAGTGAAATGTGAGAAAATATCTCTAGTGTACTGATACATGGGTTGGAAAGAATGAAGCCACGGGTTAATGAGACGCGTATGGTTTGGCTGATGATTGGCGAAAGGGCGTCAAATGATTGCTACTCAAAGACACGTAATCTTATTTTTGTTTCTAATTTGAGGAATTCAGGAAACGTCAGCACAGACTTTGATGTTGTGTTTTACACTGCTTTCCGCAATACTTTGTGGGTTAAAGGACTCAGACACGCGATCAAGCATATATTTACGGTCAAAGCAAAAGGGTGATTGGCAGCATCCTTTACGTCTTACAGTCTAGTTTTAGGGGGAGAAAAAGTTGATTACCCATCAGTTGGATCAGAGTGCATAGAATATCGATACATATCATTACACATATAGAGTTAAACAGACGCGAAACCTATATTATCAACAAAACGAAAAACAATTGTTAGTAGCTCCAGATTGATGGTAAGAGTTGCAAAACAAAAGGAGATCATTGTATGAACAGTAACTATTAACATGGCGTTAGAAGCAACGAGCAACAGAGAAAAAACAATGTTAGGTTATTTGCGACCATATGACGATTGTTTGTTTGCTGCTTAAGGTTCCGGGACAAAAAGTCTACACGGAAAAGGTCTGCATTAAGCGGGATTTAGATGAGGCAGGTGAGTTGAACTCAACTCAAACCGATCTGGTCGTAGGCGTTCAGCTGACTTGGCAACGAATAGAGCAAGTCCGATATCTGTCAGATTTCTGGACGTTCATTTCGCAGTTCAAGTGAGTTGAACGCTGAATTGAACCATCTTAACCCATGGGTTGAAAGACAAAAGGTCGAAAGAAAAAAACGTGGAAAATGATAAATTGTTGAAAGGTCAGAATGCCTAAAACTGATGTCAATATTCTGAAACTAAATTTTCATAACTTCAAAGCAATTCTTCAAAGTTAAGACATTATTTTCTGAGAAAGTTAGAAGCTGAGTGGTGCGAAGTGAAATTTTCTTCATGTTGGTAGTGTTGAAATAAACGTTTCATCACCGTCGGTTGGTAGAGAGAAGTGTCAAACGGCTTTTTGTGCAGAGCCGATTCGTGATTTTGTGATTGTTTGTTGACATTGTTCATAGCTGGAGTTTTTACGGAGTGGAAAAAAATTCAGAATGAAGTGTTTTGTGTTAGTAATTTTTATTTGTATAAATTGTTGCAAATCAGATGCAAATTTAATGTGGCCGACGATATCTATGGAAGTGCTGTCGAAATTCCCTGGGACCTCCAAATCGTGTGAAACTCGAATATGAAAACTCTATAGAACCCCCGTAGAACCTCGCTGGCAGCAACTAAAATATCCACTGAAACCTCTTCTGTCGCGGGAAAAATCTGTTGAAATTTCCTGGAAATTTTGTACTATCATCACAAATCTCCTTAGAACGTTCTCCAAAGTCACAGTCGTTCCTGAGCGAAAAAAAAATCGGAGGGGTTTTTTTCAGCGCAGGAGTCTACTTTGGTCCAAAATACGCAATAATACTGTTAATTTTAATTGTTTGAGTCGTTTCGAATCACGTTTTTAAAAAGATCAAAAACATTACTGAAAAATATTTATTTTTTATTTTGGACGATAACAATACTTCTATCTATTTCAACGAACCACAATGATAAAAAAGTGGTTCGATTTGACAGTTCGAAAGTGGTTCGCACCACTCAGGTTAGAAGATACTAAGTTGTTTGTTTACGTTTACGACTGATACTGAGTGGTTGCGGCACCGACAAACCGACATAGATGATCATACAAATTACCAAGAAATTTCTGATGAAAGCACAAAACTAATATCTTCTGCCGCCGTGTTCGCGGAAAATATTTATCCTAGACACGAACACGCGTACAAAATTTATGACTTGGTTCGTGTCTAATCTATTTCGGACAAATTATTTTTATCTAGATAAAACATTTCTATGGTTTTGTCAGATGGGATCGCTGCACATTTGAATCTGCCGTTATAGATTCTCGATCAGGAGTTAAGTTTAAGTTTCATGTCGGTTTGTCCTATACAACCGTAGGTCCACCGTTGTATAATTTGGGATTCCCCGTGTACTGAGTTGAAAATTGTGGGTTCGAATTCCACCGGTGACCGTAGAATTGTTCGCAAATTTTCTCACACACACGTCTCTTACCAATGATATGTGGTTACTTATCAATAATTTTAACTTCCTCATAAATCAACTAATATTGACTGAAAAGTCGTCAACCACAAGTAAAAGGTAAAATATTATTACACACTAGTTTCCCTTCTTTGAAAGATGTTCTTTGTTTTAAAGAGGTCACGTTGCACTTTAGGGGTGAAGGGAGTGGTGTGCAGGCTTAGCGAGTGTCTACGATTATCTATTGGCAATTTACCGACTGTCTGTGGGCATGGACGATTGGCTTACGGACGTTGGGCATAAAGATGTGTCAAAAGTGGCCATCATCTGATTTAATGTTAAAAAATTGTTATAATTTATTCGATGGTGGTTTGTTATAAATTCATATTGATTACGTAGTTGACGGGAAGGTACGTTCAAATTAAATTTTGATAATAGTTCTACCTCCGACTAACAGACGTAACTCTTTGAAAAATGTTTTTCTTGAAAACATAGATTCTCAAAACATAGGACCTCAGTAACGACATCTATCGAGTTTCTCGCGAAAAACAATCTTGCTCACTAACTCACAAACAATATTGCATAAAAGATCTATAGAATGTCTAGAAACGTCAAAGTGATCCGATGCCAGCGCTGCGGCGAGTAGTTCGTGGAACTGATAATATTCAAATCAACCGTTAATGCGTGAACGAAGATACAAAATGAAGAGTTACGTCTGTTTGTCTGTGGTTCAACTGAATCAAACTATATTTTTTACATATGGGATCATTGCAAATTCACGACACTCTTTTAGTGTTTGGTTGTTTGAATGTTTCATAAGATGGAAGAGAAAATCTTGTCCAACCTAACTTACCAAGTGCATTTATTAAAAATGGTTTTTATCCTGATTGATTCTTTTCGTTTTCTTGCGTTATTGAATAAGGTTACCAAACTATGCTGAAATAGTCCAGAATTGACCACACAATGGAAATGTACAGCGTTTTTATTGTGTACGGATCACGAAAATTATAGCTAAATCATTTTATAAATCCAAGCATGTCGTTGGCATGATTGTATTATAATGATACATTAATGTTTGTTTGTATTATACAATTCCTCCTAAATCCCTAGCTCTTTCACACTTATCTACTGGATAATTTCCTAAAACGATTGTAATGTTCGGTGTGTTTAGTTGCCTTCTAAAAGCTACTGAATTATTTTTTTATGGCACGTCAGTTGTACAAGGCTTTTGTTACACCAATTATAACAATGTATTCCGTGTTTCTTATTTCTCAAAAGAGCTTCATATCTTCGGGATAAATTAGAACTTTTATGTTTTTAATAATGAAGGAAATGTCACTGACAAATAATACAAACAAAAGAAAGATGAGAGCCTTGGGGGACTCCTGAGGGATTGAGTAGGATTCGATTTCTTCCCATTGAAACAAACTATTTATTTATTAGTCAGATGTGATTAGGGATCGTCTATCAATTATGTCACACTTTTAGGGTTGAGAGGGGGTGGGGCTTTGGAAACTGCGACGAGCCATACAAAATTTAAGGTACATTTTAAAAATGTGACAAAGGGGGGGGGGGGCTTGTAAATGGGCCAATTTTGCGTGACATAATTAATGGACCTTCCCTTAGAGCCATTTGAGGAATGCGGACTCAATTTCCATTCATTCAATTGAAAGAGTAGCAGTAGTATACGTCAATGCGATCGGATGCCTTGCTGAAGTCTGCAAAGAGAGTTTCCGAGTGGTTTTCATTGTCTTTCGAATTCGAGAAATAATGAAAGGGCCGGTGGTGTAGTAGTAAGGATGTCTCTCACCCCAAGGGACCTTGGTTGAATCCCAGTCAGCGCCGACAGGATTTTCTGAGGCATATAATCTCTTATCAGGGAAGTAAAACCTTTGGTCCCTGGTCCATGGGTCGATAGATAGAGTTCAGGTGTGGGATCTGCCATTCTGGCGTCGCTAGCATTGATTCTCAGTACGGAAAACAATTTTTGGTCGAGATTTCATGTGTTCAGCATAGATTCTACCCGAGACAATCTTGTATCAGTGCCACTCGGCAGAAGCAGGCCACTCTCTATGTGTGTCACGCGATCGTCTGTTTACTTGCCAGCAACCATTGTGTGGTCCTCCTCATTGTTCTTCATCAGTAGTTCTTTCGGTCGATGCGTCGTCGACTTTGGAAAGCAACCGTTTCGTGATGAAAATGTGAGTACTGGCCACGTTTTTCGTCCATTGCTGCAATGGAAGTGCTCTGATCTCCGTTGGCGAATCTGCCATACAATGTAACTACTGGAAGCGGCTTTCATTTTTATGGATCAGGCTTATTTGATGGCGGAAGATAAAGTGTTTTTTTTGTGTTGTACCTTTTGACTATAGTTTCAAGATGTTATGTTAAATGAACAAGAATCTTTGGCTCTATAAAGTTAATTCGATTGAGACTAATCATATAAATTGATAAACAGTATATTTGTTAATAACAGGCAATGTCAATAGTGAAAATCATTTCTTCGATCAGGCGCTTACGAATAAGCGAAGTTTTGGGAAGGATGTGTTAAATAGGTTGATATGTTTGAGGTGAGAATTAGCATGCTACAAGTCTAAATCATGGTCTTCAGAACCTTCATAAAACCAAAATTGTTACTTGGGGTAAACTAAACCCTTTTGAGCAAATTTTATAAAATCAATTAGCAGTAACTTTAACTTCCTTA